GACCGTGTGCAAGGATGAGGTAGGTCACAGTTTGATTAGTAAACACTGGTAAACCACACACTGTGACACGCATGTCCATTGTTATATGACAAACAATTGCCTGTAACACAGCAAGACCACCGTTTGTTACAGCTGTATGGATTCTGCCTACATGAGCAAGGATTAAAGGCGCAAAACGAAGGACAATTAGCGCGTCAACTCATGAGGACTTGATGGCTTTCGCAAAACCTCTTCTCATGAAACCGATTACCAGTTATGGATAGATAGATAAAAAAGAGTAGTTCTTAAGGGGTCAATATCATAATTCGGCACCAGTTTCTCCAGTACTTGTGACTATCCTCTATCTGGTGTCGTTACCCCAGTCACTAGGACCGTGACTGAGAAGACTTTTCAAGTGGGCAAGTGGAAATTCTAATTGAGAAACATTATGAATGCACAGATACAAACCTGAATCACATAGTTCCCATACTGATCCTTGACCAGATGATCAACTCCCTTGTGGAGCTCTTCCAGAATGGGTCGTGTTTGCTCGCTGAGGCAGTACTCAAGTATGCGCTGAATCACACGACAACCGTATGGATGTGAAGACAAGTGAAAGACCTGGGAAGAAAAGAGAATATTAACGGTGAAAGAAAGAGTCGAACCGAAAAGCGCACGGTGGGAAATGGTCCCCAGGCAATAATGGAGCACAAAGTAATTGGGAGTTTATCAATGTTGTTTTCGTCAGAAAGCGGAGAACTTTGTTACTAGAAGAGCTTCAGGGAAAACAAACAACACGAATGCATAAAATTTTATCGCTTTTGTATGAGTATCGATCGAAAGACCAGGATCAATTTTTCTGAACATGAGCAGACAACCAGGTAAGGGATAACACAACCCGAGACTTGGTTAAAACAAAAGTGATTCCAACAAGTGTAACTAGACAAATGACCCTTAAGGTATAAGTAAAACGGCGATTACTAAAACGTTAGCAGAACCAAATATATTTATCTCTAGGTAGCAACCACTTCAGATCAATGTGATACAATCTACAGAAACCGCAAGAAAACTAAGCAATCGAATATACATACCTGTCCGCGAAAAGCTGCAATGATGAAATCCAATTCTTCCGGGGGGACGCATTCAATACACTTTTGTATCACATGGTTTCCGTTTTGATCTTTAACGCATCGCGTGACACACGGGCGCAATTCACTGACAATTCGAATTTTGACCTCAGCCGTGCTTTTTGTATGACGCGACAACCGTACATTTGTGTAGCGAACTCTACTACATGACCTTGGAGTCGCTGCGCCAGAAGCTGAAGATTGAATTGAAGATAAAAAATTCACGATTCACAAACTTCAACAATCAAAACAAAATTTTTAAAATCAATAAGAAGGCATCAAATGGAGAACACGGATTTCGTAACAGTTTAGTTTATAAATGTCATGTTCGTATGGGTCCAAAGTGCAGTCATGGACGGCGTCAGATACAAGGCTCCGATAGGACAGGCTGCGTTACGCCAGGGGAATAGGCTATCTGCATAGCACTATAATTAGACGGCGGTGGCACAAGCATACCAGTGAGTGACTCCCACAGACTGCCCACTGCCCCATCAACACACGTGAAACGAAAAGGTTTCCAACTAGAAAAAGTGGAGTAACGAATATAATCGAATGCGCACACAGACTTTTGCCCCCACGAAAGACTCCAAAGTTGAAGAAAACCTACGTTCATTATCCACAGCAACTTTCGGCATTTCTTTGTTTTATTGAAAGAACATATGTAAATTTTGTCAGGTTCGTGGTAAAGATCTATTACTGAGAAATAACCAGTGATTTCCACCACTGGACAGGTGGCAACAAAACTGCTCAAAAAGGCACACAAAATCTGTCATTCATTTAGCATGGCTGCATCGAGAGGTAACGCAAGATCACTTTCGCGCGAACTAGGAAAAGCTGACTGGAGTGAGGACAAGAATAATGACAATTGAAATATCGTGGACGAACCTCCTTTTGTTCGTTGGTTCCGAATTCGAAAAATTTCTGAATCACATAGTTCCCGAACACATCTGTCATCAGTTTGCCCGAGTGTGGAAGAATCTCGGCGAAAACTGCGCTCTTTTCGCTCATCGTGGCTGTCTCTAACTTTTGTTGAATAAAACGCGACCCATGTTGATCCCGGGCAAACTCCACCATGTGGTCCCGAAGTTCTGACAAATGCATGTGTTGAAATCGTGTGTTGGAATTACGAAACTCCTCGAGCAATGGACTGCGACTGGAAGGAATGGGCACGGCTAAAGCAGCTGGATTAGCTGCTGTCACACCTGGCAGGAGTGTGGGGAAATGGAAGACAGAAAATAATTTAACTCAAAAATAAAAATAGGAAGTGTTGTGGCAAACAACTTCGAAAAAAATATTACCGAAGATATGGATAAAGCAAAACGGAATTTAGTTGTGAAAATTTACCTATTTTTGTTTTGCGAATAACAGGCTACATGTTTTGCTGAGACAAGCATGCAAACAACAATGAGACCGCCATGACTACTGCGAACACATGGTTACTATGCCCACTTACGATCAAGTCCGAAAGGAGGAAATGCCGTGGGACACTGATAGGCAGTGGGATTGGCTAGACCTGGGGCTCCAGCAGCTGATCTCGATAACCCAGGTGGTGCGGGCACCAACTCACCACCAACGGTGCGATTTGCAGCCGGCGACAACGATAACGGGATATGGCTGAGACCTGGAGGTGGACCGGAAACGTTTGGACTCCCGTTTGCCTCTGGTTGTAACATCCCGACGGCTGGCATCAAGTTCATACCCTGCACATTGTAAACGTGAGCGAGGGTACGAGCCAGTGGTACGCGAGCTTTAGGTACAGGGAAAGACTGCTGAACCCATAAAATTTCATAAACGATATTACCCTGAAGAACAACAAGTGCTACTTTATTGCACTACACAACAGTACCAACCACATTCATGGGTTGACCAAATTACCATTCAGGTCAGGATAAATAAATGGGCAAAGACGCCACGAAGGCAGCTGAAAATTGTAATGAATATAAAAAGGACCACGGATTAAACAAAATAGCCAGAATAGGTATGTTTAAATGTGTCCACAGTGTAAGTGCAACACAAGCTTTTTTATTACACACTTGTCGTGTGATGAACAGCAGACAGGGAAAGCCCCATAGTCACGAGGATCTACTGTTCAGTGATAGAAACCAGTAACCTAGGCCCCGATGGGTTGGGTGTGGTATTGAACCGGATGACAGCAAGGCTGCCTACCACCAAAGTTGGATGGCGGTGGCGGGGCTCGACCCTCCGACCGTAGGGTCCTGCGGCAGCGACCACACCACTGGGCCACCACCAAGTTAAGTTAATATAACTGCCACTGTTACGCAGAGTGATGCTTCAGTTGTGTAAGTCAATCGCTACAGTAGCCGTCACGATGTAAAATCATTGCGCAAAGTGACCAGTCCTCTGAAGAGACTAAGAGAGGATACACGTGCAAAAGGCTCACTTTCCCTTGATTTACAGGTAAATTTCATAACTTATAACACACTGTTTTTTTTTTGAAGGACAAGGAATACATTCACATGTGAGTCTCCAGTATTACCTATTCTTTTTGTTGGTTGCTGTAAGAATTGTATAGGTAATCAGCTCTGACCAAGAACTATGGCGATTCTTTTGTATTTTTAATTGGTAACATGGATCAGGTAGGAAAAATATCTAACACAGATTATGGTTACTCGTAGGCTACTTTCACGACGGAACACGTTGAAACTAATCAACTTTGTGATGATGATGAACGCCGCAGTGGTGCATAAACAACCGGTTTGTGGAACATGAAATGACAGAAAAGTTTAATCCAGTTCTGGTTTTGAAAAACACTTTACAAACCACGAAATTTCAAACGAGATCGAGTACTCAACTTGGTAGAAACGTAGTACATATTGTATAGCTGCTTTTTCCTAGTGGCAGTGATATTTCAGTGCAGTTCAAGCTTAAGCTTCAATCCTGCATAATACGCTTGTTAAGCACCAACAACTAGATAAGTTAAGCACAGAACATCCAACACACAGATAACAAACAACGGTTTATTAAATGCGTTGTGGCTTTATCTGGTATCACAGCCGGTCGACAGGAGATGGGAACTTACTCCATGCATGGCAAAGGAATTAGGTGGCAATGCGCCAGTGTTTAGAGCACCTGCGTACAATCCGTTCAACGGGACAGGAGCCCCTGGACTAGCCGCGTTTGTGCTACCAATGGGCACTAAGGCATTTGACTGCAAACTGGTGGAAACAGTACTGGTAGGACCGGGAACACCGGCTGCTTGAGGAGCAGCAGTTGGTGGTTGACCTGGAGATGGTCCCCCAGGCGATTGATTAGTCGCTGCAGCAGCCGCGGCAGCTGTACTGGCTACGGCAGAAGCAGCTGCCGCAGCTGCAAGAAATTGTTGTTGAGCCTGAAGGAAAGTGACCAAACGTGACGGATCCAGGCCCGCAGTAGAAACCGGTGAGGGTGCAGTACCACCAGAGCCATTCATCATGGCNCCAACAACATTCGATGCAGGTGCTGCCGACGGCGTGGATACTGCATTCGGATTGGTAAGCATTCCGTTGGCCAAGTGTTGCATCAGTACGGTAAAGGCCAAGGGGTTCCACTGTGGGCCTGTACAATAAAATCATGCAACCAGAAAAATAAGAACACATAAGGAATAGTCCCAAACCTTTACATGGGTTTGACTAGTATAAAGTGTACGGCTTAATAACCTGGGCACCAACCACAAGGAATAATGACAACAGTAATCGACGGCGAAGATACCACACGGACAGTACCTGGGGTAAAACCACCTGGAGCGACTTGTGCATTTGGCCCCACATGTCCCGGTGGCATGAACAGAGACATCGCCATGGCCATTGATAACGGATCGAAAACAGTTGGCTGTGAGGTCGGCAGATTAACGGCAGAATTAGGAGCGGGTGGCATTAGCGTTCCAGACTGACCGGAAGAGAAAGAACAATCTGGATTCAAGGTCGATGTCGCCGGTTGTCCATATGGAGCAGAAGCCAAAGAAATTGGTGGGTTAGCCGCTGTGGGAGTAGTGCTACCGCTAGAGGTAGAACCTGTGCTGCTTACAATGTTGCACAATCCCGGTGGTGGTTGTGGAGTCAAGAAATTTTGGTTTTTCATGTACAAACCAAGAGCATCGTTGAGCTGAAATAAGGGGAGTGGAACAATGCTATGCAAGTGAAAGCTTTACCAATATATGAGAGGCGGCAGTCAAATACATAAAGGAAGTAATCACGCGAACCGAAAAAGGAATGTAAGCCTTAACAACACGGACAATCAAATCGACTTTTCCAGATAACAGTCAGTCACGATGCGGAGAACGAATAAAAGCTACGTTTAACGCCCCGATATGCTATAAAAATCGGTGCAAGGCGGTAGCCCGAATGGATCCGAATACGCAAGAGAAAAGCCAAAAGATCGTGGTNGATAAGGCGCGTCGTCGCTCAGAATAGTCACAGGAGTGTGATGAACAATCAGAGAACTACGTCCTGAGGACTAAAAGAAGCTCCGATGATGATGATCAGGCTATCTGACTGATACTGATAATAACTGAAGCCGCCGAAAGCACGCTATTGTTTCGTTATTTTTCATTAATTTTGAAACGACCGATCGATCACAAGATAACTCCAAACACCACACGTGATGCTCTTGTTGGTACAACAGTGATATTGCAAAACAAAGAGTTCCAACCGTACCCTTTAAGCATTTATTTGAAGGAAAACCAGCTTTAAAGGCCTTGATATTCAGACAGCCAAACGCTATTTGACAGTTGGTGGTAAGAACCGCCATGTTCAGTACTAACACCTGTGGTACCCAGGTGTTATTTTTAGGTCTGTTAGGGGTCGATACGCCAGCATGATCGGCACTTAGCCCGTACCCGGTCATTATGCACGATGCACATATATAAACAAGGCATACAATACACAAAGCTATCATTGATAGTTGAATGCCGCTACCTTTGTAGCGCTGGTGAGACAAAAGTTAACCTTAATGGCTTTGGTTGCTGTTTCAGGCGACAAGCACAGAAAACGGAAAAACACGAACTCGGTAGATATAAAATGCGGGTAATAACCAGTGTGATGAGAAGACCACATTTATAAATTAAACCTCAAAAAACACTAAATGACCATCCCCCTAAGTTAGTGTAAATATACGACAACCAAGGTCCGTTGAACGATAAAACCCGGACAAAGTTAGCTTGCTCGCAGACCTACTCAGTGGAACTGCAATGTAATAGATGCGTTGATCGATATTTATTCGTATTGCTTTGCAAACATAACAAATGTTAGTCAATCGCACCTAGCTTTGAATTAGAGCGGAAATGGCCGACCGAGGAAAACTGCCCGTTCGGAAGAAATGAGAAAACAGTGTTTACAGATACTCTGGTAAGCAACTACGAAGCACATAAAAGGACTAGAAACACGGTACGGCGAAACGTCAGTAGAAAGATCGAAATTCACAAGAGATTTATTACATTTTCGCTACACCAATTGTGAACATTTATGACAGCATACTTGTCCCAATTAGAGGAATGTACAACCAATCTTTTTAAACCATGCGCAATGAATGAGGTTGGACCACTTTGGCGCTAACACGCGATCACCTGAAACTAGCGTTTTTCGTGCAAACAGGGGAACAGAGTAACACGTTACTGTGAACATGAATGGAAATGAAATAAGTACAGCTGACCCATCGATCATATTAATCGAACGATATTATCGATCAGCAAAGCGAATGATCAGACAGAGAAATCGATACATAAACCGAATCATTTGTACGTGCTTCAGTTACCGTAAGCCAAACATGTAGTCGTGCAACATTGGTGTGTGCACTAACACGCCAGGAAAAAAAATGCTGTGCGTTCAACTGCTGCCGATTGCTCATTCGTGTTCTGTGAATGAATTGGGTGCAAAAGTGACGAGCAATAGCGGTAAACACACTGGCACGAAGTGAATCATCTGATCGCGAAAAAGGATGTTGTCACTACCTACGGAATACTACTGAAGACAAAAGATGATATCGTCATTTGCCAATAAGACGCATTGTGAAACGTCAGAATCAGCACATGAAAACTATTTCACATTGACAGTTCCATCCTAAACTACCATGAAACTTAAGACAATACTGCTTCCGGAAGAATGACAAATAAACTGAGCAATGAGATGGATAGAATCAATCAAATGAACAATGGGAGCAATAAGAAAGCAACCACCTTTCCACATTTTTGCAAGTGTTTACCGTACTTGATAGTTTGGTTTCGGCCCAATTGCTGTATTTTGTGTTTGCTGTGGTTGTTGTTGTTGCTGCTGCTGCTGCTGACTGACTGCAAAGGACAGTGGCAAACGTTGGGACATGGACTGAAACGATGCAAACGGATTCAACATAGACGGATGACTCAAAGGCAGATTGGAGGAGACCGGAACCTGACTACTAGTCGGGCTGAGCATGTACGGTGCAGTTGGAAAAAGTGAGTTGTTCGATGACATGGCCCCGACACTGGTAGCCATGGTGCCCGCATCTAACACACTTAACGACGTTGTTGGCCCCGATTCGTGCTTGTTTAAGCTTCCAACAGCAGCGCTAGATAAGTAGATGCCCGAATCTAAATGAGCATCGCTGACGTTCTCAACCTTTTGATCTGATGGATCGAAACAAGCAACAATCGAGTTAGTGGTGGTGGATGTTGTTGTCGCGGTGGTAGTCTCTGCTGGGTTGAGCGCGTCGGTCGACGGGTTCGTAT